CTCCCCTGTCTAGAGAAGGAGGGGAGTGATAAATAGTTTAACATTTGCAGTCTGGAAAACTCCGTTTCCTCCCAATAATTACAATAGGCTGTATGAAATAGGGGAGTGGGTGACTTTTTGTTCCATTTGACGTTGGCAACTCTGGAACTGATTTTAATTTCTTTTTCCTTCCAGGGTCTTGTACAGTATGCGGGTTTGCATATCTAAGTTTAAGCAGTATCTTCTGCATATTCTGTATGTTTACTCATTTATAAAGATCATTTCTGGGAGAAGTTTGTCCTAAAGTTGAATGAGTGGGGCAGTTGATGTGTTCTGCTTAGATACTGGGGGCTCCACACCGTGTCCCACTGCGTACTGATGCGCACAGTTTGCTGGAACTAAGATGACCCTCATAGGCTCCTCACATTGCTGTTCCTGCCAGCCAGGCAGAGCCTTTTAAAAAAAAAAAAAAAAAAAAAAGCTGGCTTTTCGCATGGTTTTGCTGTTGCCAAAAATCTTCTTTCTGATATCACATGATGCATAAGCAACAGATTTTCTAAAAATATCCAGATGTAATAATGCTGGCAACTTAGCATTTGTTTTATGGAATGAGAGCAAGGAATTGTTATTCCTTTTTTAAATTTCTAATAAAGAATGAAATGCTTACACTGACTGCCAGTAATGATGGGCTTGAAACCCACCACTGAACTGCTCATTAAGGCCTTCATCCTCAGCAGGGCCTGATGGGAAAGCTGGCCAACTCTTATTTGGTATTTTGTTCTTTTACTAGTGCTGTATTTTATCTGGTTTGTATCTAGCCGTGTCAATGTTCTGCCATGCTTTATAGATGGTACCCGCAGGCCCTGGAGTTTTAATTCAGCGAAGAAAAAGACACAAGACAATTATTCTGCAGGGGGGAAATTGGGAAAATTCATTAATGAGGAAATTGGTGGTTTATATTTGAGAGTGTGAAAGGAAAACACTTAAAGCCAAGAAAGGGGAGCTGTTTCTTGTCCAAGGCAATAGCAGGACAAAATATATGCCAAAGAAGAATGAGGGAA